GCATGTAATATACTTGCATCTTCCAGATCGGTTACTTGGATGTTACCATATAATCAATTATGTCTTCAATCATTGGTAATGAATAACTATTTACCTACATCCACAGTCTCCTTGTCTATATAATCGGTCGTGAAATAGGGAAAGAACTAATTTATATCTAAATTATTTTGCTTAAAACATTCTTCTTAAACTTTTTACTATTCTGCATCATGGTTCTCCATTTCACAGCATAGAAATTCTGGTCTTTTTCAGGTATTTATTTTGGGATTCTATTAATAATTCATTAACTGGCTAAGTTACAGAATAATTCAGATGACCTATAAAGCATTTTAATGTTCAATCGTAGTTCACCCTGAGCTAAGTATGTTCATCCTTATATATGTTCATATGCAATATTATATCGATGTATATTTTTATATCTATAGTTTATAGTTCTTTTAATTAACCATTGATTATACTTGGATTTGACTCGCTAACCGAATACATTTATCAGTTGATTCTATTCATACTCTCGAGGCACTTCCTGGATTTTTGTAGCCATACTTTTTAATGAAACCCGAGCAAGCAAATGTTCAAATTAGGTCTTAAATTGAAGTGGTTTGACCTCGTTTTCGCAACTTGGTCTTGTCATCAGGGCGATTTAGTTGAACATAGTAATTACTATAATTCCCCGCATCAAACCATGGACATGATACATTCTCAGATGTTTAGCCGGCATTGTAATCAGCATCATCAGTGATTCTTGCCAAATCCACACTAAGTCAAGACTCACTGATGATTCTGACTACGATGCCAGCGAAACGTCTGATAATGTACCAAGTCGATGGTTTGATGCTGGGACTTATGATAACTACTATGGCAGAAGACTTTTGACAAGGTGCGTTCAACTAAGTCACCCTGACAGCAAGATCAAGTTACGAAAACGAGATCAGCCCACTTCTATAAATCGAAAGGAGACTGGTAATACCGAGGGCCACGTCATCTTGGTCTTAAATTGTTGGCTTATTTTTCACTTTGAGTTTTATTGTTTTGACCAAATTATGCTATTTTTGTTATTTTTGATTTGAATATCTTACACATGAATTAGTACAATCTGCATTTCTTATCTTTCGCTATTAACAAAATATTTTAACCGCTTAATATCCCACTCTCCCTTTGACTCAGTCCGAACACGAATTCTAAGTCTGATGTACCTTATTCGACCCGTGTAGCTGGGTGCTTGCAGGGCCCTATAAAGACTCCATTGCCATGTCTATCTTCTTCAAGTGGCTCTCCTTGTAAAGACTCCTGCACTCCAGTGGAGCCATCGCAGATAAGCTCCATGAATGGCAACATGTGCGGCTCTGAACACGATCACTCGCATCATGACCATAATCATTATTCACAACCTCAGCTATTCCAGCAGTCTAATCAACAGAAGGCAGCCCATCTGCGTCATCTCCAGCAAAATCTAGGGCGAACTCAGCTATCTGCATCAGGAACCAGTACTTCTAGGCTCGATGTTCAAGGCCCTTCTCGTAATCTCCCGAATGAGGTCAATTGTGCTTCCAATTCACTGTTTTTTCCGAGCACTTCTTTACCCGATAATGTGAGCTTAATCATTGCTTCGTTTACTTACACTTTTATGCTTTAGCATTCTGCTCTCTGATTCAACTAAGCGGGAGTGGATAAAATGTCAGAGAGTTCCTTAGCGGTTCTCAGTGAAGGCCAAGAATGGGGTTTTTGGTGGAGTGTGGGGATTTTAACTGTGGAATCTTGGTCTTGAATATGCAATGAGTGGAGATATATCTGTTTTTTAGCAATAGTCCTCAATGAAACTATTCTAAACTTGTTATAATGCATTTAACTGAATAAACCGCTCATATTTCAAATGAAGAAAATTTATTAATTTTTTTAATGCTTCACAATGCATAACTTTTTCTTTACTCCTTTACTCGACAATTAATTTGGTATGCTTTT